CTTGCTCTCTCTCTCTCTCTCTTTCTCTCTCTCTCTCTCATGCATACACACACAAACACACAAATCTGACTTAGCAGTGCATAACGCAAAGCCCAACAAACAATCAGGCATCCACATGTTTTACACACACAGGTTTGTGTCAGTCTGAGACTTAGCCTTGCACAACGCTGTCCTAATCAGAGTGAGAGGGGCAGATGTGGAGAGACCTGCTGTCTCCTGGATGAATCTCCCCCTCCCATCATGCACGGTCTAATCAGAATCAACTGGGTACACTGTCTTACAGCCTGCCTACATGCAGGAAAAAACTAAATATGATGGCTGCTATGCTCGCCAAATCTGTGGAGAATGAGGACACCTGCTCTATCGTGAGTCACATGAAGTGCCACTTTTGATTCTTGTCATCGTTCTCCTCACCTTCATATGTTCCTACTTCCAGTAGTGTGCCACTCTCCTCCAGTTGTAGGAAGTCCTCCACAGACAGGAAGTTGTAATCCAACCCTGGGACCTCTCCGTCTCGAGGGGGACGGGTCGTACCTGAGCAGAGGAGAAAACGGACATTTCTATCAATATGATTCTCAAATGACAGTGAAAACAGGATTATTGTTTGAAGAACAACAACACGCTTCCTTAGCGCCTACAGCTGTGATAGTCTGTTGCTACATCCCAAGATTCCTTCGGCTGTCTGAGATGAGTGTGAGCCACCAAGAGGGGCTCTGAAATGAAGACGGTGTGATTGTAATTCAGCACCATCATTGGAAGCACACTGCCTGTGAATATTATGTCAAGAAATTAAATCAAGGATTGCATCTCGAGCAATCGCTTTGTCTCATGGGAAACTGCAGTCTGCCAAGTCCAGGTCCAAGAAAAAGGTCACCTTAAACAATGCACTCATGTTCATTCTGTAAACTTGCTCTTAGTGTAAATGTATGGATTTACTATGAAAATTATGGTTTTGTTCAAATCTGCTGATCTTGCCGTTACTGGATTAGCTTCGGTATGTAATAATTTCCATGGTGTTTTACTAATTTCACAGTTGGACCATAAACTAAATATAGACATAGATAGTAAATAGTAAATCATTTCAAAATTCTGATGAGACTGTCAGTCAAGATCACAGTTTCAAATTCCCTCTAAGGTTGTACTGGTTGAACAATTAGTGATTAATAAGTAGTGCTCTGTGGTAATTTGCAGTGCAGTCAGAACAATTTGTAGGTGAAAGTTGACACCAAACAGTGGAGACGGGGGATATTATGTCTCTGACATTGGAAAAAAAAAATAAAAACAATGGCAAGGCAGACGGTTCACATAAATTGGATCTCATCTGTAGTCATGGCAGTAGTGCTTAAAGCATAATAGAATACACACAGTCATGCATATATTTCAAATAAACATCAGCTTTAATTCAGACATACCACTGTTTGACAGCTTGAAGAAAAAAAACAGACATGCTGGGTTGATGACATTCTTAATTTAGAATTAAAAAAAACAGTCTCTCCAAAAAAGAAGAAAAAAAAAAACAGACTTCCAGTTCTGATAATTTTCCGTCCAAAATTATTACAAAAACAACATTCACACAAACATTGCATTACTATTAAAGTTATTTCACCACCTTCAGCTTCCCTTGTGGCTTCCGTGATGCTGAAAATATATCTGATGAAATATACATCATCATATTTAACACAGGACATCTGAGAATATGTTTATATATGGATGTAATCTACTAAATCTCCGATAAGTGTTTTTCACTGAGGTGTTGTGTTGGTTCCATCAATAAAATTATTTAAATGGCTGATGGGTAGATCATTTTAACACCTAATGTCACAAAAACCTTGCTATCCTGTATGACTGAAACATTTATGTAGTATTTGCGACAAAATTGATCGACATTAGCAATTGAATATTTTGTGATTGAACTGTTGAAACTTTATATATGCAACTATATAAGCAGTATGATATATAAGCAATATGATTTGCTTTACATTTAGTAGGGGAACATGTCTATAATGTGAAATGTTTAAGAAAAAATAGGATTTGACAAAAAATAACATTTATCTCTTTAAAGTAGAACAAATAGAGTGGTGCAAACTAAAAATACGATTGTATTGTCCAAAATTAATTTAGATGTTTTTTTTCCTCTAGTTGAGCAGCCTTAAGTTACACTAAATGATCCTATTCATCCTCAGAGTACACATTATATATAAAAAATGAATCTTTCACAGTGATGAATTCTTCTATCCACGCGGGAAGTTATTGAATAGTTTATTGGGCATGAATATATTGTGAATTATGCATCCAGAGGATTTTGAACTCATCAGATCTCCACTAAACAGGAACATCAATGGGGGGAAAACAGACAAATGTTTTAATAACAAAATCGAAATAACAACTGAAGAATTGTATTTGTGAATGTGGTTTCTCGACCAGCAGATAAATGCCAATAGATGTCTAAGCCAAAGAGAACTAAATTTAACACAATTCTCACAGTTCATGAGCTGAATGAGTCTGGAACACATTTAACAAAATTGTATTAAGTAGTATTGTTTTTGTTGTTGTTTTTTTTTTAGGTTTTGTGGATTCATAATGAAAACTGTTGTCAAAATGTTTCTCAAAAGTACACAAGTGGGTTATTTTATATAAACATGTCTAAACTTGGTCTAAATGGAAGAAAAAGACTCAAAGTTTTCCGAAACATCAAGTTCTCCAACCTTGAACAATTTGGATTGAGTGTGTGTAGATGAAGGATGAATTGCTGGTGTGCCAGGGCCAAGTGAGTTACTTTTGCCTTCATGTCTCCATAACTAATGACTACCTCTCCATCTGGGGATGAAAGTTTAATACTGTGTACACAGTCTACAATTGCCTATAAATGACCAAATAACTGTAAGCAAACACACCCAAAGAGTAGGCCAGGCTCCCACGCATTGGAAGCCACCTCAAGCTTTTCTGACATGTCACTGAGTGAATCTTAATTAGTGCAGACAAAGCAACTGCATAGTACAGTATGGAATTAAGTGATTTATTATTGGGCCCTTGCTGCAATATTTGCGTACCAGCCCCATAGCGGCGACATGTATGTGCAGTTTGCGTCTCTAAGTTTTAATGTCCACATCACTGTTCTTTTTACACGTGCAAAATATTTGCCGCAGATCCCACAAGCTTTAGTATTCGATGTGTAAAAAGAGTATGTTCCAGCACAATGGTGTAGCAAAGATATAAAAAATGTTAACCTGATGATGGTCTTTGAAGAGAAGTCAAAGAATCAGCAAAGCAATAAGGCTCTTTTTTGGGTTCAAGCACTCTCACTATACAATTAAATAATATATTCTCCCCACTGTTGACAGATTATAGATACATACAGACCATAATCTTATACTTTATCTTATTTTTGTAAGGACAAGCTCACTAAGCCTTCTCATGTCTGAATGTTTACCTTAGTCTTGCCAGTATGCCAGCTCACACTGCATCCCTGAAGGTACATCCAGTCCACAAAGTACCATATAATGAGCTAGCTTTTACTAAGCCCTGCTCCATCCCACACCTGCGGTGCTAAGAAAACACAGATATTCTGTTTCTGTTCCTATACTTGGAAAATTATACAAAAGGTAAACTGGCAATAGATAATAGATAAACTGACATAGTGCTCAGACTGTGAACAGACACAAATCCCTCACACGAAGAAAACAACATGATAAATCATCCAACAGTCGGTTTACAGCAGCAGCACACAAGCCTAGCACTGCTTTGTATTCACCTCAGCAGAGAGAGATGAGATGAAAGTGAAGGTGTCTGGGAGTTTGAATCATAGGAATGGGAGGTCCCCTGATAAAAGACACTGTTTTTGAAGCTCAGCGTGCTTTAAAAAGAATGTCTTCTGTTATCGCAGCCATTTTCACCACAAACAGTGTCTCGGAGAGGCAGACTGATTCAAGTGTGCCAATGTGAGAAGCTACTGAGCAGTTATTTACATCATTGTCACATCAAGCCATCCATAATGGACTCTCAGCCATTCATACATATCAAATAAATCGATGCAGCAATAAATCATCCAAGACCTTTCTGTCTTAAGGCAAAATGTTAAAGGGAAGAAGCCAGAATCATTTTGGTTTCAGAACATCTTAAACATAGCAGTGATGGGGCGACTATTTGCCATAATCGGTGACCACAATAATCTGCAAACATCACTATTTTTGGTCAGCAGATGATTTCATTGAATTTATCTTTCATTTACCTAAACAAAGAAAATGAATTTAACAAGGGTCACCAAATTTTCCCTCCAAGTTGCAGAGCATGAGGAGAATCCTCGAGGTACAGTCAACAGTGGTATATTTGAATGGGTCTAAATATCTGAGTGCTGTATGGGAGTATTTAGAGTTTGCCAACGACAGTCAGAAGTTTGGATGATGATAAAAATGCAATGCATGATGAGCAGCAGAACAGAAAACACCCTGGGGCAACTGATTAGCCATAAGAAAACAAACAAACAAAAAAAATCAAAGTTTTGTAAGCTATTGAATGCATTTTAAAGATAAAGTTGTCTAACTTTCTTTATGTAGCGTTTTGTTTTGAATAACTGCTTAACATTTCTATGCACCCTTGATAAGTTAATGAGGTGTCAGCATGAATTAATGTGCAGACTTTGTGCATCCGAATACATTTACATCATACTGTTTTAATCACATCTAATTGTGTAGATAATGTTAATATCTAAATGAATCAGATTTAAACAAGGCAAACTAATAAATAATACATACAGTTAATAAATGCAGGTCATTTGTAATTTACATGGATTCTAAATTCTCAATTATTACAATCTGAATAGGTTTGATAGCAACCAACTATTTTCCCTTTGTAGATGTACCACTTTCATTTAAATCACATTATATTTGACACTGTGAAACCTGATGTTCTTTTTGTTTTGTAATCTGGATTCTTATCATTTTCTAAAATTAAATAATTAAATGATCAATTACTTATGTTATATTCAACTGTCAAAAGGTTTATTCCCTGTAGCTGTAGTTTTGTGAATTGAAAAACCTCAACACTTCAACTTTTACGTATTTCTTTTGCACACAAGCAAGATGACACACAGCTGACCAGTCTTGCACTGTAATATGTGTAAATAAATATCATTACATTATCTAATGCTGTCCTGCATAACAAAAACCCATAACTTTGTTAAGATATTGTGAAAAAATTCCCTTAAGAGCAAAAGGTTATGTTTGCCAGAATCAAACAATTCAAGTTGGGTAGAGACTGTAATCCCAGCTGAATGACAGACAGTCAAAAATCAGAGAGAGCGTCACTTGTTCCAGAGAACAACAGTAACAGTGGGGTCAGGCTCATCTCATCACTATCATTGTGGTGAGTCAATAGAGAAACAATGGCAGGCCACAATCAGGCCTCGCTCTGATGTACTAAGTTACTGCGACAGTCATCAATGTGTGTATTGTTCACTCACAGTTTGAGAAGTGTCTGTGTTTCGATGAATAGAAAATATAACACAAACGCACTTGATCTGTGGCGGTGCTGGAGCG